CCCCTCTCCCAATCCATTGCCTCTTTTGCAGCAGATGAATCATCCTCAGATGGCAGTCCTAGCAGTCCTATCCCAGATGAGGACAGCGTTGTGTTCAGCCAGCTGACATATCTGGGATGTGCCTCTGTCAACGCCCCCCGCAGTGAGGTGGAGGCGCTCCGTATGATGAGTATCCTCAGAGGGCAGTGCCAGGTCCCTCTGGATGTCACACTGTCAGTGCCAGGCGTGTCCGAAGGCACCGTCAGGTAAGGGGGAACATATCAAGTCGTAGTGTCATACACGCATAACAAATCCTGCTACAGCAGCTTTTAAGATATCAAATGGCAACATTTTTGTATTTATAATTTAACAGGTTGCTGGATCCCAACGCCAGTACGGAGATCGCCAACTACCCTATCTATAAGATTCTGTTCTGTGTGCGAGGCCATGATGGCACACCAGAGAGCGACTGCTTTGCCTTCACCGAGAGCCACTACAATGCTGAGATCTTCAGGATCCATGTGTTCCGCTGCCAAATCCAAGAAGCGGTGAGGATTAAATCATTAATCCTTAACTGGTTGTTGTTTAATTCCGTGTAATTGTGTTCACTGAAGTCACATTTAAAAGATATTTTAGCAAAAAGACATTCCAAAGTTTATCTGAAGTTAATGTGAGTCTTTACTTTACATAATTACAGCAAGCAAAACTTGTATCCAAGAAAAAAAATATTGCTGCAATTCAGATAGTGGACCAAAGGGGGAGCAAAAGCTCCTCTTATAAATGCTCTGCTTTGCATTTCACATGACACTCTCCTCCCTCTCTTTTTTTTTTTTACGCTCTTTCTGTCTATTCCACTCATGTACATATAGATGTACACACTCATATTGCCAGAAGTTTTCTGGTTGACCATGTCTTAAGTTGTTGATCTCCCTTTAGCCTGTCCCTCAGGGTTCAGTATCAGTGTGGGAGCTTCCTTAGTGGTCCCCAAGGGATTATGTCATGTACTGCAGGCTGCAATGCACATGTACACCATATACAAACTCAAAGTACACTCAATCCTCCGATCTAGCTTATAGGGGAGACAGAGTGTCATACAGTAGGTTCAACAGAAATATAGAAGAAGTGAATAGGGAAGCCACTCATGAAACTGGGTTAAAGTGCTGCTTCAATGTTCAGTGACCTGATTTCTCCCTCATGGAAGCGCTCTCCTTCAATGTCACTAAGAGCCCCAAGACTGGCAGTAATTTTTCAGACCCACATCATCCCACTATCCAGTTCCCCACACACATGCTGACACAAAAACACTAATGTATACACACACACACACAAACCCACACACAGATAATACCCAGTAGTAATTCACTTCTTTACCTAGCAACTGGACAGCTCTCTCTTCCTTTTGCACCCGCCCCTCTCTTCCTTCCAAACCCCCCAGCAACAAACCAATCTACAATACCTCCAGCTCTTTTTTTTTTGGCCTCTTCTTCCACCATTAGACTAGAGTGAGGCAGCGCTTTTGTTGCCTCCTCCTTCATGAAAAAGCTGCTCTAGTCATATGCCTCATATTAGCCTCAAATCCACTGTAAACAACTCAAAAGACCTCTGAAACCACTGTATTTATCCATTAAGGTGTTTTACCTATTTATTTTGAAATATATTTTTGGACACTGTAGGCACACCAAAATTATGCACATTTCTTTATTTAATTTTCTGATCACACACCCAAACAGACTTCCAGAGGTGTACTGAGATAACCTTGTGGCAGACTGGACTAAAACTAGTTACTGTCTTATTTACCTCAGCTATCCCATTAGTTTTAAGTAAGTGACCCAATTATTTAATCAAATTGTGACAAGCTTCTGAAGCATTCTTTACCCCTAATTTAAAAAAAACCCCACAATTTGGAAAGAGAAATATTCTCTTCTTGAAGTTATCACTGTAAGTACTTTCAGGTTTTGTAATGATATGCTTTTTTTGGCCATTCTGTGTAATTTATTTTTCTAAACAGATTTGTGGATTTTGGAGTGGAACTGTTCATACATAAAGCAAACCACCTCCCCAGTCATACTCCGCCTCCTTTGTGCCAGACCTCCTAGTCAGGCCCCAAGGCTACTTTCTAACAATTCCCAGTTTTCTGGTGTTGATGGTGATGCAGAGCCCTGCTGAGTCTCATACCCAACACCACCTCCTCTTTTTGTGCCCATAAACTTGCTGCTCCTGTCCAGAGATGTATATCTAGTGCTGTTTGATTCAGATCAATACAGCTTCAGTAAATTTGTTTCACTCAAGTGATTTGAGCTCCTAACACAAATTAAATCACATGTTTAAGGGCGACAAACACAAATTGGGCGCTGACAAATGGATTGGTGCTGTAACATCAGTGAAAAATGGCTCAAAGCTTCATCTCAGTGAGCACATCAAGGTAATGCTGCCAAGTAAGAAAGATAAGATAAGAATATCCTGGACGGGAAGTAAAAACAATGTAACAGGATACTTAACAAGTTCAAGATCTTTAAAGGCTATAGTTTTTTTAGAAGCTGATTCCAAATCCAAAGCACATTATGTAATAACATTTTATAAGAAATCTGAGGGTAAAAACAGTAACATTTCAGTTTGTTTGCCATATTTACATAGTTTTACTGAATGCATTAAGTACAAAAATAACCAGGGACAGACCCTTTGAATGAAGAGGTTGGGGTAAAATGTTAAAATATAGTTTTAAAATACAATAAACTTTATTTCAATTTTGATGATACTGCAGAAAAACTCAAAATTATAAAGCAGTTCTTTAAATAATTTTTTTTTAACAACAATTTGTGAGTAGGATAAAATAACTCCTCGTTTGACTTTTGTGGAATCAAGTGTTTTCTAGATGTCAGCATTAATCTGCCTTATTTTTTCTTGTGTGGAATAATTTTCAGTTTGCCTCAAGAAAGAGAAACATACATCAGAAAGACAGAATGACTGCTTTCTTGTTATAAGAGAAGCCCCCAATATCGGCCTAAATTACTTGTCAGGGTGGATATTATTGAAGTACAACTGTCCACTTCTTGATAGAGCTCCTTCACACTGCACACAAAGTATAAAAATGAACAGTACAGAACAATTCTATTGTTATTTCAAATAATATCATCAATACAGGGGGTGACCCCCTACAACTCTACCCATTTCCCATTTCTTACATTCATTCTCCCATTGTTTCTCAATAAATAAACCCCCTGCGATGCCCCAACATCCTTCTTCTGTACCGAGAGCATAACAAAGGCTTTCTGTAGGAGAGGTTAGAAGCTGCTTTATACTCTAGCCTTGAAAAAAGCAAAAGAGCGTTGTTATTTATTGATAACAGCCGTTTCCCCACACCATCCCTCAGTCACTAACCCCCGAGCGCTGCTGTTTACCAGAGTTAGAGAAGATTCAAAACCACTGTACTGTGGGCCTCGAGTTGGGGGAGCACTCTGTTTATTATCACACACACACATCTGTGTAGTAATAATCAAGAATAAAATACTTTTTCTTGACTAAATGCAAAGCTCACACGTCTAAAGTATTGTGAGTGGAAAAGTACATTTAGTGAATATAAATAAATCATTACCACCCGGTTCTCTGCACTTGGCAGTCTTTAGCTGCCTGCCCTCTCCAACTCTGCTCCTCTTTGGGGATAGAGATTTAGCAGAACCCTGCAGTCTCTGGAAGGACTGAGTTGTCTCTGTTTCATGTTAATAGGAACAATACCTCCACACTCAGATTCACAGGAAAATATGAATCAGTATGTTGATTAAAACTCAAAATGCTTAATAGGTTGGCGGCTGTGCTGTCAGTAGAGTAGTGGGTCATTAGGTAAGCTTTTTTTAGTGCCCCATATCACAAAATTGCAATAACAGATCTGCAGAGGTTTGATTGAGTTTTTAATCAATACTAATGACTCTGTGATTACTTTGCCCTGGTGCTGATATTTTTGGCTTCTGAAAGTCCATTTTATGGTCAACAAGACATTTCAGATACAGGAGCTGCTAAAGTTGGTCCCAAAGCCAAAAAAACATTACCTTGCTTTCTGATACTGTCTTATCTATTCAGTGGATGTTTTCTATCGGATATTTGCTTTAATTAGCTAATTGACTTGGACTGTCCTTGATTATTATTATTATTGTTTTCCACACTCAGAATGAATGATTTCACTTTTATTTCCCCCTGAAAACAACTGGAGTTATTCATTTTGAAGCTATTGTTTTTCTTTTAGGGACGTAGCTAACACAAAATAATAAACTACAGGTCACATAGTCTTTGAACAGCCTCATGTTTATACAGTATTGTGCTTAGTTTCACAGTGTGCTGCTTTGTCTGGATATTGTATTGGATCTGTTTTATTGGCCCTTCCCAAACAGTGGCTTGGTTTTGTGTTCATTATAAAGTGTCTTACGTGTGTTTGCCTTTCTCCTGCAGGTGAGTAGGATACTGTACAGCTTTGCCACTGCATTTCGGCGGTCAGCTAAGAAGGCAGTTCTGTCGTCGCAGCAAGCTGCTCCGCTCACCCCTGACAGTGACTTGTTTACCTTCACCGTCAGCCTGGAAATCAGAGAGGATGATGGCAAGGGTACTTTCAGGTGAGACATACATTCCGCATTATATTATTATTTCAGTGTTTAGAGCATGGAACTATAATTTATGATTCTTGCACAGTTGTGTAAATTATGAATTATTAAATTATTTTGAGTTGCACAGAAGTCTGGAACTTTTTTCAGTGTGATGTGACATTTTCCAAAGAAGAATAAACTGTCATCAGACCTGCTCCTGTATTGAACACCAGCTTTACTTGTGAAATCTAGCCAATAATGTGTGTCTTTGACAATGTGTGTCTTTTTAAAAATTGGAAAATTAATAGAAACCTAACACCTGATTTGCAGTGGCACCATAATTCTAGCAAAACATGTAAAGAGCTTTGAATGAAATGGCCACCCAGTGACCCGGGTTTCACACCACCCACATAAACACAGGGACATGCAGCCCTACTTTTGGGCATTAAATATTAGCACACTTCTGGGTGACCCAGTTACAGAAATTACAAACCTATCTGGGGTTGACAGCATGTAGGGTACATACTACCTATGAGGGGAAGAATCATCTTATTAGTTTATATACAAAACAAATGTGTCAGTAAATGAAAGGTAAAAATTATGAAAGTATCCCTACAGAGGTAAATAAAGTCCCTCCTGTCTCACAGTGGACTTATACTTTGACCACTACTTAACACTCTTTTTCACACATTGATAAGAGAGGACGACAGGAAGTTCCTGTGCTCCATTCTACCCATCTTCCCTTTTTTATTCTCTTTTCCTATATTAGTCACTTCCGTGTGTTCATAAACAGACCCAGATATTCATCTTATTTGGAAAACAAAATAAAACAAACAAACAAAAACCCAAAAAATCTATGATTATTTTTAGCCAGCACATATTTCCTCCTCATTAGCTCTTGGTTGATTATTTTTAGTGTACTGACTTCCAAGCAAACAGCTCTCTCATGCAAGCACACATAGACTGATTTTGTTTGTAAACATTTTTTCCTTGTGTAAATAAGATATAGAAAGAAGGCTTTATAGAAACTGCTTAATATAATATATTATAATGTAATATAATATCTGTAAGTAAAACATATTTAAATTAGTTTTCCTTCAAACAAGCCTATTTATCTGTCGTCAGGGGACCTAGTTACAGTGTAAAACCAAACCAAACGTACACTGTTAGTCTCATATATCCTGTACGTTGAGTCCCAATTCACAAAGTTTTTGTCATCTGAGCACTGCTTAATTGATTAATGGATTTTTTTACTCAAAAATCTATGTACTTAAGGGTTCGCTCAGTGCTTCCTCAGGAATTTGTGTCAGTGATGGTTTGGAGAATGTTGATTACTGTTCCTGTCTCAAACCCCTGCTTTCAGAGCAGGAAAGAGAACCAGGACCAGAGCATGTTTAAAAATGGTTCTTATGCACACTTTTCTTATGATAAATGGGTCTAGTCTGAGCCATGGTCTTTAATTTAGTTTTGGTCTTTTTTACACATTGATAATACATTTCATTGGTCTAGTTGTCAAAAGAAACCCTGGTTGCTTTAATTATGAGTTAGTTTGTATCAGAAGTAGAAACCATGCAGGAATATTGTTTTCTCTCCCTGTCCCAGACACACAACAACCTGTCTAGTCAGCCTGTGGTCAAATATTATGTAACATTTCTATAATGTCATTGGCTTATTTTTATAATGTAAGGTTTTAAATAATAGTTAATCTGCCTTAGTGTGTCACTGCCAAACATATCCCTGTATTTCCTAGATAATTTAAAGGCTGTATTGTGCTTTTGTCACATTCATCTCAGTTTTTTCTATTGATGATCTTTTCGCTGTTTAAAATGTTGGTCATATTTCTTGTTTTCATATATTCAGTGCTGTAGCAAAAGACAAGGACAAGCAGAGCTTCAAGCTGCGTGCAGGAATGGACAAGAAAATTGTAATTTATGTCCAGCAGACCTCCAATAAGGAACTGGCCATTGAGAGGTAAAATACAGGGCATACACTCACACACAATACATCTTCAGAATATCTTCAGCCTCAGAGTTATTAGTTTAGTATACAGTCATAGGATCATTGAATGTTGATCTTTGATACATGAATTATTCTAATAAGTTATAACAGCGTATCGGTATGTAAGACAGAACTATTTCCAGAAGATTTATCCTTGAAATACAACAACCAAGACAACCGAGGTACCTCTAAATATGTCAAAGCATACGAATTGTTAACAACTAAGGGAATGGAGGCTATAAGTAAAACTTTATATCCAGAGATTACTCCATTTGCTACGGTTGAAAAGTGTCTGCTTAGAACACGGCCAGGCGTCCATAAGAAAGGAATCACTGAGCTATAATTGATAAACACACACCGGTGAACATCTTTACATCCGAGTGTCGGCCCATGTCAGGTTTTAAGTGTTCCGGCACAGTTGCAAGATAGTGATTGATGTGAGTCTGTCCTCGCTGGCTCATTTTCCACGGTTGAATAAATCTGTTGAAATGTAAACATTCCATCACCTTCATGCAGACTTCCATTTTCACAGTGGTTTGTTATTGTTTGATGAACCCAAAGATGTTAAGGATTGAAGTGCTGTGTTTAATATTCTCCAATGTTCTGGTCTGTGTTAGAGGATCAGTCCAGGAAGCTATTTGTGGTAACATGTGATAGTTAACAACTGGTTTTACTCTATAGGGAGATTTATTGTTCTGTGTCTGGTTTCCCGCTCTTGGTCTGTTCTTTTTGTCCCCCTCTCCCTTTTTCCCTTATGTTATCCTATTCATTTCATTTTTCTCTCTCTTGCATCACTCTGTGTATGTGTCTGTATGTATTTCTCTGTTTATTTGAATGCGTGGTGCGCTTTCATGTGTGTCTCCTCTCCAGGTGTTTCGGTCTCCTGCTCAGCCCAGGGAAAAATGTGAAGAACAGTGACATGCACCTGCTAGACCTGGTGGGTGACTGTTGTGTGTGTTTGTGTGTGTGTGTGTGTGTGTGTCGTGTTTGCTAACTTCTCCCAACTTGCGCTCCTTCAGGAGTCAATGGGAAAGAGCTCCGACGGGAAGTCTTACATCATCACAGGAAGTTGGAACCCCAACACGCCTCAGTTCCAGGCTGTGAATGAGGAAACGCCCAAAGGTAACAGCCAAAGATCTGTCGAAAAGTCTAATAAAACAATGATTTTCAACAGTTACAGTTTCCTTCCTTCATATTTTATTGGTTAGTTGGTTGTTTATTCACTCATATCTTCACACAAATATTTGACACATTTCCAAACTTAGAAATTACTTTTTGGGACGCGTGGTAGCTTGCCTGGTGTGTGCTCCGTGTAGGCTGAATCCTCATCGCAGTGGCCCGAGTTCGATTCCAACCTGCGGCCCTTTGCTGCATGCCGTCCCCCCGTCTCTCTTTACCCCTTTTCCTGTCTATCTTCAACTGTCCTATCAAATGAAGGCATAAAAAGCCCAGAAAATATCTTAAAAAATATATATATTTTACTGACTTTACTGTAATTTATGGTACAATTATCGCTACTCTAAATAGGCATGAAAACTGTACTTTACTGTACGCAGGAGTTACGGTATTTTTCCAGATTACTCATGAATATCACTGGAAAATCAATGATGAATCTTTTGACCCACATGTCGTACATCCTACAGCACCAAGCCACCTTCAAACGCAATGAGTCAAACTCTGGTGTTCTCATAAATCACACAGTTATAGGTTTTGGTATGTAATAAGTAAGCATGTAGTGTATGTCTTGGGAATGTAAGGGAATCAGTCACTCGGGACAACATTTTAACCACTTTCTTTGTTTTTCTAGATAAATTCATGTACATGACGACAGCAGTGGACCTGGTGATTACAGAGGTAGAGGAGCCAGTCCGTTTTCTGCTGGAGACTAGGGTCAGAGTGTGCTCCCCAAATGACAGACTGTTCTGGCCCTTCAGCAAGCGTAACTACACTGAGACCTTCTACCTTAAACTACGACAGGTATGTCAAGTCATTTTGCATTCGCGATTAAATCGGTTCAAGTGATGGTCTCTGTATGTTGAGTAACCAGATATTAGCTGCGACCTGCGACAATGCAAAGCAATGAGTTTGTTAATATGCTGGTTTTGTAATTGCTAAGTGATATGTAAAAAAGTAATGGCTGCTTTATTAACCAGTCGTAGATGGTCTCTTGACGCTTATTCCTGTAGTTTATCCAATGTCTTCTGAATGCATCTCTCCTCAGATGGAGCGTAAGGAGCGGAAGAGTCCTGCCTCTGACACACTTTATGAGGTGCTGAGTTTGGAAAGTGAGACAGAGAGAGAGAAACGGAAGACCACAGCCAGTCCTGGCATCCTGCCCACCGGAGCTGGCACCTTGGTTCCTTCACCCCCTGAGGATGATGAAGAGGAAGGTGATTTGATGCTGTCTTACTTTTTTTTTGCTTAGTCACTTTTCATGGGGATTTTTTATTTTATTAAAGGCACACAATACACAGAATGATATAGTAAAGGGAATCATTTCTTTATATAAGCCATATGAAAATATTCCTTATAAACATGACCACATAGAACCACAAGAAGAAGCCTGACTAGCAGAACCATATGAAAATAATTTTAACTCTATAAACCACTTTTTGTACTTGATCATGTCAGACACATAAACAGCCTGAAAGCAGACGCTTAGCTGGCAAGATAATATAAATTTACTCTGGAAAGCTGAACCATTGTGGTGTCCTTGGTCAGGACTGGCCTCATTCGGAAGCCTATACCTCCAAAATACAACAATAAGAGTATTACTGCCCTGCGGCATTATTATGCTGAATTATGCTGCATATTTTCAGGCATTTAGCGTTTAACATTAACAGCCTTGGCTTGATGACTGATACTTAAAACCCTACCCTGTGGGGCCATACCAGATATAGATTTGTGGACCACAGGAGTCATCCCGTGGGAGATCAGACACTGTGTTACAGAACTGTTTGCACTGTATCCTCACAGAGTAGTTAGGCTGCAGTGGTGTGGGTGCTTTCTGTCTGCCTTTTATTCTCGTTGCTACCTCTCACATTCATAAAAATAGAGGATAATTGCAGTGCTTTTTGTATCTGCTGTCTGTCTTTGATCTACTGGCCTTTTGGTACAGTTTGGTCTCAACCTTGGGACTACATGTCCATCATATGTCTCCTTGTCTGTTGTTGTGAATATTTAGATACCACAGAACATGTAGATAGTACCTTTTTTCAGCTGATACTATGAGAGGTTGAAAGAAAAGATCCAACATTTTCTCAAGATCATGTGGCTTATCAAATTATAGTTTTTTATTTAGTGAGCTGTAGTTTGAGTTGTCCACAACTCCCATACAGCCACTAGAGCACACAAACTACAGTATACAACATCACAAAGCATCAAACCACAGGATCACAGCCTTGGTGTGTCAAAGTGGTGTAGGTACCAATTTGGTAACACAAATAAGCAGAAAGGTTATTGGTGTAAATCTAATCATTTTCATTTAATATGCATGAGCTCCGGTGACTTGTTTATGATTTGGAGTACTTGGAGGAGAAATCTGAACACGTAAGAAGGAAAAGGACGATAATGGATCTCATTTGTTTTCACTCTGTGTGTCCAGATAACGATGAGCCGTTGCTCAGTGGGTCAGGTGACGTTTCCAAGGAGTGTGCAGAGAAAATCCTGGAGACCTGGGGAGACTTGTTATCCAAGTGGTAAGGCTTTGTTCCCTTGTTAACTTTGTCCTTCCACTTCCATTGCTGTTGCAATGAATGCACACACACACACTTACATCCACACTTACACACACACAAATAAATCATTTTTGTGTGGGGAGTTTTAGTGGATGGACTGTATGTGAAAGTAATGGCAGCAGGCAGGAGTTCTTGATAAGCAGCTTATTAAGATGGCTTCTCTCTCCCATTACTGCATTTGTTTTTAATCAAAAGCTTGTGATGAATTGAATGGAAACTGTCCGGTCTTTAATTAGCTGTGAGCTAAGCTCCCCGTGCACAGGCACTACATGGCATACCTCTCTCTCCCTGTCTATTTTTTGTTCAACCACATATATGTATGTATATATATACATATATATATATATATGTATATATATACATATATGTCTTTTCTGTGTTCATTATTTACTATATTTGGCTGTTTATGCCCTTTGATGTGACAAATAAAACACTAAATGTTTTGGAGGACATTTGTCTCACTTTGATAAAAGCTCTGATAAAAAATAATGCCTACATAAAGAGAGGAATCATAAGACTACCCTGTCATAATACTAGTCTTTGTGCAAGTGATTGGTGATTTTGTATGTGTGTGTGTGAGCTAGAAAGTGTGTGTTGTGGTATTGTGGCATACAGTGTTCAGGGAGCACAGAGAGGCAAATCACAGAAAACCCTTTACAATCTTATGCCCCTAAGGACCAGGCCTGGTATTACTTACGTCACATGTACCGACACATGCATGCATGCACACACACGTACACACAGTATACTTTTGTTTCCCTTCTTAGTCTCAACAAGAAAACGCCACATATTGCATAACCTGGTGCTCGGAACAAATAAACCAAACAAAATCAGAAAATAGAGAGAGATGAATTAAGAAAGGGGTGGCAGGGGGGGAAGTGAGAGAATCATCAGGGATTCAGGGATTTTCTGTCGGCTCCAGTCAGGCGATAGTTGGAAGGTAGGTACAGCTGTGCCTCCAAGTTTACCTTCTCCTTCTTTCTGTATCTCTAAATCTGTCTCTACCGGGCAGATGCCTGAGTTCATTTTACACTGCATGCAGTGTGAATCACTCTCTGAGATGGAGGGTTCCCCCCAACAGCTTCAACATTTAAATGTGAAGATGAGGAAGGAAGGAAGGCATTAAAATCTGCCTCTGTGTATTCTTGCTGTAATTTTCTTTTGGCCTATTGTCTTCTATTGTCTATTGTTTTTCCATCTTGCTAAAAATAACGCAGGGGTAAAATAAAGCAAAACTAATATACAAATGTCACTGTTATGTTTTGTTGTATGTTTAGTCATGGCATACCATTCACTTTAGTTATGACAGCATGCACCACAAAGTCTTTTTTTTCTGCCATTGACACACAGTCTCACAATGGTAAAGTGAAATTCTCTCTCTGATTTGTGTATGCTCCAAAATTGAATGGTTTCTTCCTTGGCCCATGCTACACACTTCCACACTGTCAACTCAGGCCAGTTGTTTTTGCCGAATAAACAAACAACCCTGAAAACACAACCTCTTTAACGGATGTAATGATAGTGTAGTATCACACATTTTCTGTACCAAAATAGCACATATTTTACTTGACTTGAAGTTGAACGTTTGAAAAGATGCATGTAAACTGGAGCTCCATTGTCTCTACAGTCTGGATGGAAACCTAACCAAGCTCAACTCGAGGTTGACCTAGGCCACAATAATGCCTTTTTCTAAGGAAAACAGCCTGCACATATATCTGTACATAAGATTTTGTATTATGGCAGAGCAGGTAGGCACACTGACATTTACGAACAATTGGCTGCCACTACTCATGCCTTTGGTGCAAGCCACTTTAAGTCTCTGCATGTGGTTTCTTCTATAGGAACGCCACAAGTGGGCAACATATTGTAAATTTGTTGTATTAGTTGATATAACACCTCCTCGTTGTCATGATTGTGGCCTGGTAGACCTCTGTACCATCTGTAGAGTTGATAATGGTCTGCCTTAGACACGACGTAGAGCCAATGAAAACACTGTTTTGGGTAGATACTGTAGGTAGGCAGGTGTGCATGGAAAGATTGCAGATGCACAACTCGTGTAATGAGGGAGTTTTCAGTGTGCCATACTTTTTAAGCTAATAATGTTAAAATAAGTATGTTTTTGATAAATGCAATGTCTCACTCCTCTTCTTTCCGCTCCTTTCTTCTCCTCTCAGGCATTTGAACTTATCAGTTCGTCCCAGGCAGCTGCCCGCATTGGTGCGCAGTGGCATTCCCGAGGCTCTCCGTGGAGAGGTGTGGCAGCTCTTGGCAGGCTGCCATAACAATGACCACCAAGTAGAAGAGTACCGCACTCTTATTACAAAGGTAAGACCGCACAAAAGTATTGTCTTTATTAAGGTGGTCAGGGCACACCAAATCCCCTTGATCCCATAATGTTGGTGGTGTCTTTCAACAAGATGACTCATAAATTGGCAAGCTGATAACCTGATGATAATTGTAACACTTTTGTCCTGTCTGTTTTTACGTTTGGTTATATTTTGATCTCTTCAACTGAAACACATGTAATTCGAACACATTTAATTTTTTTGTTTGTTCTGGCCAAAGTATGTGTGTTGTTGTTATTGTCCCTAGCAACAATCCTGGTTAGGTTTTACTTCGTTAAAAGTACACCTCAGGGGCCACTGATGGCCCTGTTTCACAAGTTTCTCATGTGCTTCAAACTTGTGACGGTAACCACTGCTGCCCTGTAGATCATGCCAGCTGATTACATGGCATTATACAAGTGAACGGTTTATACACTTTTCTTCATGAAGAAATTTGTCTTGTGTTAATCGTTCTGGTAAAACTGATGATCGTTAACCTTTTAAAGGAAATCATAAAGGAAGAAACAAAGTGTCTTTGTAACTACTTAAAAGTCAAATCTTATTACATAAGGTTAGCTGTGTGTTTTTAGCGGCAACAGTTGAGAAAAAGGTTAAAGTTTTCTATTCTTTTGCAACTTGGGCTTCAACCTGGGCCAGAAATTGTTGGTCTGTGATCTAAAATGATACTAATAATTATTATTCAGTTCTTTTTAACATTAGATTTGGCATAGCCACTTGGCCTTGTTACTGCCTCTGTGCCTCTTTTCTGCAGACATGTGTCTGTATGTATGTTCACAAACGACAGATAGCTTTTTAGCTTGAGTTGGTTAGAGAATCACTGTGTGCATGTGTCTGTCTGTGTGGCCATGTGTGTACGGATCGGAGGTGACTTAGCCCCGCTGTCTATGGTTACCCCCTCTGTGCGCCGAGAACAGTGTGTTAGTCTATGTCGGCCGCAGCTCTGTCCGCTGTTCTTATGTAAAGGCAACATCCCCGGGCAGCGAGCTGGGTCCCAGGTGGTGACAAGATGTTGGTCTTGCCCTTTCCCTCCTCCTTTCTCTTCTGCTCTTTTCCTCTCTCTCCCCCTTGTACTTTTTCTTATTTTGCCTTACATCTCTGGCATGTGATGAGAAATTTGGATACTTTAAGTGAAAAAAAAAAATAAACTCAAATAGAAGTTTTAGGCCAACATAAAGCAGGAGCCAAACTTTCCGTTAAACTGAATGGTATGAGTGGAATCTCAGCTTTCACTCAAACAACAATAACAGTGGATCACAACACTACTGTATTGATAGCCATTGGACAGAGAGTTGGATAGGAATTTATTGCAGAAGCACCAAAGCATTCCAGGTTTGTACGTCAGCCAGCAAACAGAGAGAAAAGTGTGGAGAACATGTGCAGCTATATCTGACTCTGACAGACGATTTGCCTTTTTTATTTAGTCTCTTCAGAGCAAGACTGGACAAGGTAGCCAAGAACGGTCAAAGGACAAAAAGGCGATAAATATCTTATTTAAAGCTCCAGTGTGTAACAATTAGAAGGATATATTGGCAATAGAATATTATATTGTTTAAGCACCTGAAAATAAGAAATACTTGTATGTTCGTTATCTTAGAATGAGCAAATTACGTGGCCAAGGTAGTTTTTCCTACACGCTTAGAACGGGAGGGTGAGACGAGGGGCTTGTAAATCTGAAACTACACCGCTAGATGGCACTGTCAATGGCAATGTCACACCCTTTAAAACATTGAGGAGAGAATAAGTTGTATTGCTTTTTTTAAGTCAAGCTAAAATAAAATGTCTTGTTAATAGCTCATAACATATTGAAAATACTACTGAAATCTGTTGCATAATGTTTCTCTGTGTATTACATTTAATAATTAGGAAAGAATTTTCCCTCACATTGATGTTGTTATTTTTTAAATTATTTTTCTAATTATAGCTCATTTTCTCATTTACCAATTCCCCGTTTCCCTTTTCAGCTCCTGTTTTAAAATGTGTACATAACATACTCATGTGCCAGCTCCAGATTTGTTTTGTGGGCTTTCTGTATTCAGCCTGTGTATGCGTGTTTCTCTTTGTGCTGTATTGCACTGTATGCACATTTCGTCCTAGCTGGTGCCCTCTTTTGTACCCTAATCTCATCTGAACTTGGTGTTCATCCACATATCTGAATGCAGGGCATTGAAATTGGAAAGAGGAATGTAGATCTTAGACATTTAACCTATTCTTTCCCTTTGAAGCCCTAATGATTTCCCCAATACGAGGGTCAGTGCTGTCCAGTACATGAAAGACTAATTAACTAATTAACACTCCACCAGTAAGCAATAAATTCATTAGGCTGTTGTAGCCATGGGGCGCATTTTGTATTCGCTCCATAAATAATTGTTATATGATTTTATTGAGGGACAGTTCGACCATATTAAGTAACGCTGTGATCATATTACAGCACAACACTTAACACATTTTCATCAGCATAATCTTACTATTGTACAAGTTAAGTGTTTCTTAAATATTCGGGTTATAAGCTGTAGTTTGGTGGTAATAATCAAAATAATGTTGAACTACTGCCTCGACTAGTATAATAGTTCCTGTTAGAAAAAGGGGTTACAAAAGTTTTCATATTTTGGGATAATAAAAGAGACAGACAGAGGTCAAAGTCAAATGTTTGTGTATTTTAACTTTTTTATATATATATATATATATAGTGATGATTTTAACACACATGTCAGTATTGAATGACTGATAGAGCTTGAGATTTAGCTAGTTACCGCGGTAATAGGAGCGCAGACCAAGTAGCTAAATGGGTAATGATAGACTGATTACCTTGTGTAACGATAACCTACTTTGGTTCATAATCATTGTCATGTTGTCGTGAGCATGACAGGAAGTGATGAGGAAAGAAGTGGTATTTTTGCACCATTGTGCTAAAACATGCGGCCATGCACAGTGGGGACCCATTTACTATTGCTCTCTACAAGAGGAATACACTGTTGACAGTATAAGCAATAACATACACTGAATTACACTTGTAAAGTTGCATGGCACTTGTCAACTTGTCACCATATCAAAGAACTGTTTGACAACTCTCAAGTAATTTTTGAGGTTGTAGTTGTGTTTGTGTGGTTGAAGGCGGCGGTGTTGTACAATATTTTGTTACTGAATGATATTAAAAGATTTCCAGTAACCTAAACGAGAGGGACAAAATGTTAGAAATGCCTTCTAATGTGTGTATATAAGTATACGCACATACACATGCATGTGTCCCTAGACCTGCTGCGCCAGCCTCCTGTGGAGAGCAAAAACAAGCGCTCGTAACTATCTTCCTGCCTGCCTTTCTCTGTCTGACCCACATAATGACCTGTCTGCCTGCCTCTCTGTCTACCTGTCTGTCTTTATAATCATTTGTATTTGTGTATGCCTGACTCTGACTTCTACCTAGGCCTGTTTGTGCTCCTGTCATCCTGTGGGTCTTCCTGCCTCTCTCTGTCTGCCTGCTCATTTGTGTTTTGTCACACTGTCTGCCTGCCTCTTTCTCGCCCCTCTCCCGCTCTCTTGTCGGCCGGGCGTGTCTGCTTCTTTCTTTTTTCTGTGTGACTGTATTCTTGCCTGTCCCATAGGTTTATGTTTGCATTGCTGGTCTGACTTCTGCTGGGCAGAACTGGAAATACTTAACAGTAAAAATTACACAGAGAATGCCAGAAGGTTCAGTCAGATGAAGGAGCAGTTTTTGCATCTGAATGTGAAGAGGTTTTTTTTTGTCTTGTCTTATTTTCCTACAGTAATATGTTTATGTCTGTGTGTGACCAATAATTCCTCTCACCACCCTTGCCTGAAGTTGGTATTAATTATTATGTACTTTCTCTAGGCTCATCATACAGAGATGAACATGATAAATCCTCAGATATAAATGATAGTATATTGTCTGTCTCGGAAATAAATCATTTTAATTTCCATTCCTACCAGGGATTTATAAAAATCTCAGATAGGACATCAGCTGACTAGTTCTTTTTATGTTTTTATTATATCACGCTGATATAAAAATTGGCACTGTGTGACTGCTTATTTTTATATTTATATTAAAACAGAACAGAATTATCAGGATTATGAGACACAAGCTGGGTGGTGGTGGGTGGTGCTTATTAATAATAATCAGATGGAAGTCAGCCAGTATGCCAGTTGCAAGTTAACAATCTTATTATTTTAATAATGATTAGCATAGCTTGTGGTGATGTATTCATTTCTTCTCATTTAAGTAAACATAAATAAACATTTTCTGGTATCCGGCTGAATCAGCTGTGATATTAAACATCAATCCCACCATAGCAATAACTTTAATGTCAGTTAAAGTGCAATCGTGGTGTTAATTAGTTAGTCAGTAATGTGATTTTAAATGAGAATATGGAGAGTATTTAGCCCTTTTTCACTCATCAGCTGTTTTCCCTTAAAACCAGATATGCTGTACAGGAGTCAAGATCCATTGTGTTGTTGCCAGCTGTGTGTCAGCGCAGAGGAAGAAGGCATAAGTTAAACAGCTAACAGGACTAAGTTGTGCTTAGCTTGGCAACCAGGAGACAGTACATCACACTTTTTGCTTCTTCCTCGTTCTCACAGCCCCATTTTCTTATCGCTGATTTGTTTCGTCTGTATCATATTCATTTCTCTCCTCCACCTCTTCCTCCTCTCAACTTTGATGAGCTCTGTGCTTCTTTTGACTCCCTTCCCTCATCCTTTTCTCCTATTCCTCTCCTTCCAACCCCCGTTTGTCGTACAGTCATCTATTTTTAGCTCCTCGTGTGGTTGGCAGAGGAGGTGCGTGAAAGCATGGGAGTGTGTCTGGATTGCGGGGGGAGAAAGGTGTAGGCTGGTGTGGCTGTGTGGGTATGTTCGGGTCTCCATCACGCTACACCAAATTGCTTTGCACGAGACAAACTGCAGTCTTCAGAAAGTCATTAGGACGGAGATGTAGAACATGCTGTACTAAACCTGACAGTGATTACG